GTAATTACTTTCATTATCATCATTAAGCGAATAGAAAATTTGGGAGAGAAAGCGTCACGTGTAAGAGGAACGCATTTAATAGTGAGACAGAGGCTACTCTACTATTTGCATGTCGTCTTTTAGTAGTGGTTTTTAATTAAACGTAGAGTAATAAAAACGATACGCTAGCCAGGACACAAAACTAGAATAAACAAACAAAAATGCAAAGTGCATACATTTTAGTGGTGTTGTTTTCCAAATTAACCAATGAAAATAAAAATAGAATGTTCAATTAGACTTATACCAAAAATATTAAATGCAACTTATTCGCAATAAACTAAAGTAAATAATTAAATTAAAAATTAATTTTATTGAACACGTTTTGATTTTTCTAATCTAACCGCTTGTTATTGTTACTTTTAAGACGTATAATTTATTTGAGACTGAGTGATACACAGGGCTTGTGCAGTTCATATATTATTGGCGATACCTTAACAGCTCCGCCATTTTTTGAATTATACATTAATAATTCGAATAAACTATAGACAGTTATAACCATTTCAAACCAAAGTAAGACAATAATAGAAGAATGAAGGACTGCAGTGAGTATAAAATAATTCCGGTTCTTTTTTCTCAGCTAATGTGCAATTCGTCATATCTGTAGGTGTATAAACCTATAAGTACTTTTTTATTGTATATATTTTGTTTTGTTTTTATTGTTACAAATTAAAGTAAAATTATCGGGAATTAGGTTTTTTGTTAATTTTGTTGGTCTTTTTTATTTATAATACTATAAAAGTCGCGAGTATGAAGAAAACAAAAAAAAATGTTATGCATCTTGCTTTTTATTGCTGTTTCTGCTAGTTTAAGTGAATGTTGAGTTTGTATTATTACTTTTTTTTGTAGTTAAAGGAATACATTTGTTACGACGAATTCTTGTAATAAAAACGGGTTTTAAATGACCTAATTGTGTCGATCCTTTTTTTTTGTCATTTCTCAAATTTTCCTTTGTCATCTCCTCAATAAGGACATGCTTTTTTACGAAAGTCATAAATAAACGGTTATAATAAAAACAAACATTTATTAACAACTTCATAATTTTAGTTGGAATGACCAGAGACTATAATAGAGTTTGTTTACAGATATAACTATTATACAAAAAAATGTGTCGTATATATTTTATTAATTAGCCCAGTATAACATCATACTGCTGGCAGTTTATTATTGTTGTTGTCTAATCGCGCCGTGACTAGGACACTGAAAGGCTGAGGACCGGGCGTGACACCGTCTACACTTTCGGTTGAAGGTGGTGGATGTCCTGGGGCGACGCTAAAATTAAATCGTTGCAACAGTCCCGCTATTATCAGGAATATGTTCGCTTTAGCTAACGTTTCGCCAAGACACCGGTGTTTTCCGTAACCGAAAGGTATATAATTGTCCGGAAGTTCGATGCGACCGTCTTTAATGAACCTCTCGGGTTTAAATGCTTCGGGCTCTTCGAAACCGCTTTCTTCACTAAGCAAAATTCGGAGATTCGCCAATATCGTCGTATCCTGCAGTGGAACATAAACATAAAACTATACGTAAAAGAGCTAAATATTCTATTAACGTGGTAAATTATAAAAATTACCTTTGGTATAAGATATCCGTCGAGATAGGTATCCTCTAGTGCTCTGTGGGGCACCGCAAAAGCTCTACCCCCAAAATGACGCAGTGCTTCCAAAACTGTTGCCTCAACATATTGAAGTCTGAAAGAAATAATGTCAAATTAATTTTAAAGTAATATTTCTCATTAATTTAGATTATAAAATTAATTTTATTGGCAACATAAATGAATGTATATACATACTGTGATCTATCGTTTAAAGTTGGAAGCCTGTCTCTTCCTATAACTCTGTCGATTTCTTCTTGGCATTTCGTCTGCACTTGAGGATTGAGAACTAGGTGGATAAATGCAAATCCAAGTGTTTTGTTAGTCGTTTCGGAACCTGCTATAAACAGATCGAGACAAATGGCCATAAGCTGTTTCTCAGAAAAACTATCTTTCTTTGTAGGCGACATTAGCGCTTTCAAATAAATATCCATAAAATCCCTGGGGTTGTCTGGAGAAAAGGTTTGTTTATGTTTTTCCATCTCCGAATCCAAAAAGTCCCAAATTCTTCTGTGCGTGTCCATGTAAATGTTGTATCCCGAATATTCCGGGGCTACAAATCGTAAGAAGGGAAAGTGACTGAACATGGCTCCTATTATGTCGATTTTTGTAAATAATATCGTTAATAGTTTTTGCAGACTTTTTAACTTGACGTCATTCGGATTGTAACGCGTACCGGCCATCATAGTCCATAGGGTATTAATGACATGTATCCCGAAAAAATCGTCCATCCTTACTATCGCCCCGCTTTTTTGGGATTTGATTTTCTTTTCGAGCGTATCGACTATAGTAAGTACTTCTTCTTCTATTAGAGCGGACATATTGCGTTGTCCAAAACCAAATTCCTTTAGGTGTCTTAGAACAAACTTTCTTTGTTCGTGCCAAAATTCCCTATCTGTTAATAGTAAACCTCTCCTATACCCCCATGTTCGGTACCGATAAAATATACCATGTGGTCGTCCGTTGAAATTGTCCTCTGTTAGAAATTTCTTTATGTGTTTATGACTGCACACCACGACCGAAAGATCCTTTCCTACTTTTAGACCTATGACGGGACCATATTTTTTTGAAAGCATAGCTGTAGCTTCCTGGAGTGTACCAGTTTGTTTTCGTACTTTTTGTAATTCTAAGCAACTACCCAGAATGGGCCACCAAGTCGGCCCTGGCGGGAAGTTGGGTGGTTTTTTCGTGTCGTAGTAAAAAAATAGAGCCAGAATAGCGCAAAAAAGTATCACAGCTAGCCACATGATAAAGCTAAAAATGTTGTAACTAATAATAAAAATCTTGGTGAAACAATTACAAATAATACAGTACTTTATTTTATTTCACTATTTAAACAGGAATAAAAAAAAATCTGAACGTAAATGCACTTATATATATATATCCTAATAAATTGTTTTCAATTTTTTTTGTATTTAAGGCGTTTTTAATTTTTTATAAAAAGTTAGTTTAGTTTGTGTATTTATTTTCTCTTTATTAAGACAATGATCTCTAAATTAAAACCTGTTTCAACGCGGTTAATTAAAAAGTTTCACCTTTTTTTCTGTTTTATTATAGCGTTTTTTTTATTGTTTGGTAATAGTGGAATTTTTTTTAAACGAGGGAAGCTTCATTTCGGAAGTAAAGTCTCGCTGCTTCGTACATTCAACCGGATTCTTATATTGCAAAGCTTAATTTCCGTTACGTAACGCAGTGAAATGGAAAGCAAAAGGATTTTCAGTCGGTCGCGCTCTTTACAAATCGTTACGACGCTCGTGCAAGTGTCTGTGTGTTTACATCTGACCATGAGCACATATTGGATATGTACATAAACAGCTCGTATCTGTTCTTCCGGAAACAGGAGAAAGTAGTTGTACATTAAGTGATTGCAAACTTATTACTACTTTTTATCTTATTATGTTACTTAACTTTTTTCGTACTCTGAGATGCACAGCGAAACTTTTTACGTAAAACTCTTATGAGTGCTGTTCTTCCAAGCACTTCTCAAGTTTTGTTATAATTTAAATTTGTAATTGTTCCTACTTTATTAAGTTTAAAAGGAATGGGTAAAATAAGTCGCAGTTATTAAATATTTCATTAATAAAATAACCAACATTAAATATTAAAATAGTTTTTTGCCGAAATTACAAGTAAAAATTATCTTTTTTTGAGTGAGGTTTTTAATTTTATTTAATATTAATCATTAATTTTTTTATTTTTGTGTTGTTTTAATACACGAATATTCGAACTCGACGCACTTAATGCAGATAATAACTAAAAATAAGAATAACTTACAATAGCAGGATAAGTAACAAAAAATTCAACCAAACTTTTTCCCGCACACAATACAATTATTATGTAATTACGCTAGCGTGTTATTTCCCCGTCTAGACACTTTCTACCAAATTCAACATTGTTCATTCTTCATATAGAAATTCCCCCACTGTATCTCATATTTACCATATTTGATTTTGCCACGCTTAAAGTCTTAAGAGTAATTTTAAGTAACACTGTAGTCAAGCAGTTTATGGTTCTATTTTTGCTAAAGTTTTACTAACAGAACTTTGCGTTAGTTATGGTTTTCATTAAGTATCTATTGAAAAATGAGATTTTTTCATACTTAAGTTTTTTTATAGTTTTATCTACAAACAAATAGTTCTTTATTATAATACCGTATGTCACGCCAGTGGTAATTCACGTTTAATAAAAAAATAAAGTACAATACACGCAAATCGAAAAAATGATATGGTATGTGGTTTTAAGCGTTTTCAACAGTATTCGTAAAGTAGCGAACATATATTTGTTATTTGTAAAATAGAATGACGAATCATTCGTTATTTTGTTAGAACTGTAGAAAATTTCGAAACTCCAATTTGTCTAAATTTCTTCTAAAATGACCCGACTAGCGTTTATAGCACCACTACATTTTCTTGACTCGATGTCTATGACATTTCTATGGTTGAAATCCAAGCTATGTCATTTTATAATTTTGCACAGCTGTTCAACATGATTTTCAGTGCGTTGTTATTATATTTCATGTTGTATTTATTTAATAGTGTGGTTAATTTGTTACCACCATATCTGTTTCATATCGACGGTGAAAAAGACGGGAAAACCAGGCAATTAAAATACTTTTTAATCTTGCATGTTTTGTGTTTTGGAATTAACTTCTTTATTTTCCATACTCGATTGGCGTTTATAGCGCCACTACATGTGGTGATTCTGTCATGATAAATCATAGAAAACAGAAATTCAAAGAGAATACCATTAAAAATTTTATTAATCTACTAATTTTATGCATCTTGTTCATCAGGCCATTTTATATTAATAGCGACGTTTCGACGCCATTTTTAAAATTTTGCAATTTTACTTTTCGGTGCATGTTATCATTGCATTTCATGTTTTAATTGTTTAATAGTGTGATATATTCATTTTCTTTCTTTATTTTTATAGATTGACGACAAATTAAGAGTGGAAGAGTGTTCACTTTGGTGCTACTGAAAAAAAGTGTTTTTACCTTGGAGAATTTTATAGTTAATTCAGGTGAGCATATATACGAAATTATATATTTGTCACAATTATATTTATGTGATATTAACATTAACATTGTATCATGCATGTTATTTTCTAGAGAAGGCTAAATCGCATGTGAATACTCATAAGATTTCATTTTTCAGGAACATTAGAAGAACTTCGGATACCATTAAATTATAAAATTATGGAGCATTGGTTGTATTAGTCCTCATTTGCCCAGGAAAGTAGTCCTAAAGAATGCATGAAGCTGCCTTTTTTTCCGTTGGGAACAGAGACAGTGTGCTGAAAAAAGGATTTATGACAATGAACTGGTACTGGTAATTTTTTACATTAGTTGACATTGGAATTGAGACATGAAGTTTAGTCAGGTAGGTAATACTGACCAAGTAGAATCGTGTGGTAGCATTAATTCCGTGCGGAAACCAATGTAGCTTGAGATACAGGCTCCTAAAGTTATTTAATCGGAGGAAATTTCGATTGGTACGGCCCTGGCTGCAGCCCTTCGTCAGCTGTTCTCGCCAAATATGCATTGATGACGTCATTGTTTAGTTAGGTAGATGTATGACAGACTCGAGTTTGTTTAATGCCCCTGCCCGCCGAAGGCGGGCTGATACATTAGAATAATGTTAGGAAGATATGTTTTAGGACAAACGATGTTTGGCGGGAACAGCTGACGGAAGGCTGAAGCCAGGGCCGTACCTACCGGTATTTCCTCCGATTAAGAAAACTTTAAGGGCCTGTATCTCACTCACATTCATTTTTAAACAAATAATAAACAAAATTCTAGTAAATACTACTACACTACTTCACTTGGTGAGTACTACCTACCTGACTAAACTTCATGTCTCAATTCCAATGTCAACTAATGTAAAAAATTACCCTGGTACTTAACAGTATTAATTAAAAATCGTAAATGATATCTTCAGATAACTTCAATTTCTTAAACATTTGTAACTTGCTTCAGTAGACAACATTTTAACAACGTTTCAGAAATGGCAGAAGCAGAATAAAGGTGGAACATATCTTTCCATTAGTGTGCATGTTACTGATTTATTTGGTTTAAAAATGACGGGTAATTACTTATTCTTGCCTGTTTCTATATAGATTGTCCCACCAATGAGAAGGAATTGCAGTTAATTGTGGTGCCACTGAAACAACATATGCTTTTGACGTCTTCACCTTGTAACATTATGTAGTTAATTTTTGNAATATTAATCATTAATTTTTTTATTTTTGTGTTGTTTTAAAACACGAATATTCGAACTCGACGCACTTAATGCAGATAATAACTAAAAATAAGAATAACTTACAATAGCAGGATAAGTAACAAAAAATTCAACCAAACTTTTTCCCGCACACAATACAATTATTATGTAATTACGCTAGCGTGTTATTTCCCCGTCTAGACACTTTCTACCAAATTCAACATTGTTCATTCTTCATATAGAAATTCCCCCACTGTATCTCATATTTACCATATTTGATTTTGCCACGCTTAAAGTCTTAAGAGTAATTTTAAGTAACACTGTAGTCAAGCAGTTTATGGTTCTATTTTTGCTAAAGTTTTACTAACAGAACTTTGCGTTAGTTATGGTTTTCATTAAGTATCTATTGAAAAATGAGATTTTTTCATACTTAAGTTTTTTTATAGTTTTATCTACAAACAAATAGTTCTTTATTATAATACCGTATGTCACGCCAGTGGTAATTCACGTTTAATAAAAAAATAAAGTACAATACACGCAAATCGAAAAAATGATATGGTATGTGGTTTTAAGCGTTTTCAACAGTATTCGTAAAGTAGCGAACATATATTTGTTATTTGTAAAATAGAATGACGAATCATTCGTTATTTTGTTAGAACTGTAGAAAATTTCGAAACTCCAATTTGTCTAAATTTCTTCTAAAATGACCCGACTAGCGTTTATAGCACCACTACATTTTCTTGACTCGATGTCTATGACATTTCTATGGTTGAAATCCAAGCTATGTCATTTTATAATTTTGCACAGCTGTTCAACATGATTTTCAGTGCGTTGTTATTATATTTCATGTTGTATTTATTTAATAGTGTGGTTAATTTGTTACCACCATATCTGTTTCATATCGACGGTGAAAAAGACGGGAAAACCAGGCAATTAAAATACTTTTTAATCTTGCATGTTTTGTGTTTTGGAATTAACTTCTTTATTTTCCATACTCGATTGGCGTTTATAGCGCCACTACATGTGGTGATTCTGTCATGATAAATCATAGAAAACAGAAATTCAAAGAGAATACCATTAAAAATTTTATTAATCTACTAATTTTATGCATCTTGTTCATCAGGCCATTTTATATTAATAGCGACGTTTCGACGCCATTTTTAAAATTTTGCAATTTTACTTTTCGGTGCATGTTATCATTGCATTTCATGTTTTAATTGTTTAATAGTGTGATATATTCATTTTCTTTCTTTATTTTTATAGATTGACGACAAATTAAGAGTGGAAGAGTGTTCACTTTGGTGCTACTGAAAAAAAGTGTTTTTACCTTGGAGAATTTTATAGTTAATTCAGGTGAGCATATATACGAAATTATATATTTGTCACAATTATATTTATGTGATATTAACATTAACATTGTATCATGCATGTTATTTTCTAGAGAAGGATAAATCGCATGTGAATACTCATAAGATTTCATTTTTCAGGAACATTAGAAGAACTTCGGATACCATTAAATTATAAAATTATGGAGCATTGGTTGTATTAGTCCTCATTTGCCCAGGAAAGTAGTCCTAAAGAATGCATGAAGCTGCCTTTTTTTCCGTTGGGAACAGAGACAGTGTGCTGAAAAAAGGATTTATGACAATGAACTGGTACTGGTAATTTTTTACATTAGTTGACATTGGAATTGAGACATGAAGTTTAGTCAGGTAGGTAATACTGACCAAGTAGAATCGTGTGGTAGCATTAATTCCGTGCGGAAACCAATGTAGCTTGAGATACAGGCTCCTAAAGTTATTTAATCGGAGGAAATTTCGATTGGTACGGCCCTGGCTGCAGCCCTTCGTCAGCTGTTCTCGCCAAATATGCATTGATGACGTCATTGTTTAGTTAGGTAGATGTATGACAGACTCGAGTTTGTTTAATGCCCCTGCCCGCCGAAGGCGGGCTGATACATTAGAATAATGTTAGGAAGATATGTTTTAGGACAAACGATGTTTGGCGGGAACAGCTGACGGAAGGCTGAAGCCAGGGCCGTACCTACCGGAATTTCCTCCGATTAAGAAAACTTTAAGGGCCTGTATCTCACTCACATTCATTTTTAAACAAATAATAAACAAAATTCTAGTAAATACTACTACACTACTTTACTTGGTGAGTACTACCTACCTGACTAAACTTCATGTCTCAATTCCAATGTCAACTAAT